AGCAAAGGAAGCCCAGAGCCTGGAGTAGGCAGGCCCGGGCCTCTGGCGTGCCCAGGCCTTGCTGCTCGGTGCCGATTGTGCCCGGGGCTTGTTCCTCACCGTTGGGGTCCAAATGAGAGGGGAGCAAGAGGCAGAACAGCCCGCTGCTGCTGCTGCTGCTGCTGCTGGGGCTGAACTGTCTGCAGTGCCCGGGGGCCGGGCAGGACTTGGCCCCGATGCCTGCATTGCTCTGCAGCGGCCAGGGAGGGGTCCCAAAAGTCATCCCCCCGCCTGCTGTGCTGCACAGCAGGGGCTGGCTGGGCCGGTTCCCGGCCGGGGGAGCCCGGGGGAGGCCGTGCTGGGGCTGAGGGGCTGCTGCTCACTGGGCCTCTCGGGGTTTGCCTTGGAATCCCAATGCCTGTGCCTGCGCGGGGGAGAGGAGGCAAAAGTGACTGTAAATTGGTCTGTTGTGGAGTGTTTGGGGGCTGAGTTCATGCTCTTGGCTTGTTGTGTGTCAATTCCCACCCTCGGTCAGGGCTTCCCGGGGAGCGTTGCCGCTGCTGCCGCCGCTGCCGCCGGGAGAGAGAAGTCCTTTGGGAAGCCGGGATAAAACCAGCAACTCTGTGAATTGCCCGGCTTTTCCTAGGGAAGGGCAGGTTTTTGGGAAGAAAGGCCCGTCCTCGCGAAAGGCGCCGCGGGTCTCGCAAGGGGGGGGCGCGCGGCTGCAGTGCCGTTCCCGGCCGTGTCCGCCAGGCGGCGACTGCGAGGCAGCGCCCGGCGGTCGGGGGCGGCGAGTGGCGGTGTTTGGTCAGTGCCGGGCTTCTCCGAGCTTCAGTCCGGACTCGGAGGCGTCCTAAGGATGCCTTGGGCTTGAGGGAGTGTGTTCCTGCTGAGTTCAGCAGGCGTTCGGTGAATTTGGGCTTCTGTGGGTGAATTCGGTCCGGTGGTGTGGTTTTGTTGGTTTCCGTCCTCGGGACAGTGACCCAAAGGTTCTTTTTCCCCTCGCCGTGGGCGCTCCGAGGAGACCAAAGGTGCAGAATTCTGCCGGTGACTTGGCTTGCGTTGCCAGTCCGATTGCCAGGATCGAATAGGGACGGAGGTTCCTCCCGGACAAAAGGGGCCACCGCAGAAAGCTCTGGCTGCCTCGGCAGTGCCCGGGCTGGCCCCAGCACCTGGCAAAACCTCTTTGGGAAAAGGCAGGGAACAACTGCGGTTGTTCTGCCCTTTCTTTAGCCAGGGACTGGAACACAGACAAAATCGAGGTGCTCTTTGACCTATGCCGCAGGGTCCGAGCATTTTTCAGCCTTCCTTAGCAGGGCGTTCTCACCCTCTGAAAAGCTGAAAGGCTTTAACAGCTGGAGACGCGCCTGCAGCTGTGCAGATTAATGGAGTTTCTTTTAGGAAACGAAGGGGAAGTTTTCCTGTTGTGAGCCTAAATACCGAGTCTACTCTGCTTTTTCAATCAGGTGACGAAGCTTATGGAAAAAAAGACCAAAGGCCTCGAGGTGAGTCCATTCTACCGAGTTCTGCTTTTCTGGGATCGGTTTGGGAAAATCACGTGAAGCTCTAAAAAGCTTCTCTCCTTGTTTTCTAGTTGTTTTTTCAGCCTAGGTGTAAGTTTCATGTAGAAAAGGGCATAGAATTATTAGAACAGAGAAACACGACTTTCTCGGGAGAGATGGAAGAAAAGGCTGCTGATTGCAGTTCTGCTTTTCTTGTCTTCTATTAGACTGTCATTTTCTCTCCCCTGCTGTTCAAATAGAGAGCAATTAATTCCTCTGCTGAAGAGTTTGCTGTACTAAGTGTCTGTCAAATTGATGCCTTCAACTCGAGACAGCACCTGCTCCTTAGTTACAAAAAGTTCCTCACAGGAGATTTTCAGGCGTGCCCATAAATCTCCTGGCTGTTTGTTTGGGAGAACAGGGTTCTCTCGTCTGGGACAGAACAGTCATGGCATTTGCTATGGAATGCTGGTGGCAATGTAGTCAGAAGAGGCCCCCGTGCTTCACTACTTTTCCCTTTTTGTTGTTCAGGGTGACTTCCTACCAGGGATGTTCTTCTTGACCCCCCGGGGCAAACGGAGGTGTTCACCTGGTCAGCATCAGGAGCCATCCTAACTGAGGCCCCGGTAGGTCAGTGCTGCTTGTGGGACTGCACAGCGAAGCTGCCTGTGGGAATGAGCCGGCTCTTGCTCGGGGTGCTCCTAACGACAGTGTCTTTTACTCCGTGTTCCCAGGCTGCCTCTTTCCCTTCGGTCGCCGTGGGTGTGCCGGACGCCTCTGGCAGGACTAACCCCGTGGCTTTTCTGTCCAACGTGCTGTGCTGTGCTGTGTGTGCCTGCAGGTAAGAAAAGCTGGGAGTGCAGTCCCTCTGCTTTGCTTGCTGTGTCTCTTTGGGAGTTCTTTCGGAGGGCAATGAGAGAGCAATTTGGTTTGAAGGGGACCTTCAAAGGCCACCCTGTCTTCCGTGGGCAGGGGCACCTTCCACTCTCATCTCCGGTTGGATGCTCTAAGTCCCATCCAGCCTGGCCTGGAACACTTGCAGGGATCCAGGGGCAGGCTCAGCTTCCCTGTGCAGTGTGCTCTAATATCTCTCCACTGGCATCATGAAAAATGTTGTCAGCGTGTTTTGTTGGACGCCGGTAAGCAGGACCCGGGTGAAGAGGACATTCTCTGAGGTGCTGGGAGAAGGAGGACTCGTGCGGCCACCTCCAGAGACAGCGGGAACGGGAGCATGCTGCGGAGAAGGAAAATTCCAGGGGGTGGGTGCCGAGAAATTTGTCCTTCCCTTGCCCTGTGCTCTGCACTTAGCAATGGGTCAAGTGCAGAAGTTTCCTGGGGACCCTGGGAAATGATGCCAGGTCTGCCAAGAAAAGTGGGGCCAAAGGAGCAGGACCTGGGTCTGCGAGCGTGGGAGAAACAAGGGCCGGGTCATCCTCTGCCTCCGGGAGGGGGGGCAGCAGGAAAGGCCACGGACTAAAGCACTGAAGTGCCGTTCCCCAGGGAGCCCCTGCCTAGAACTGAACTTGCTTCTGCACTTGCTGTCCCTTTCCCAGCGGAGCCGAAGCGTCGGGTGCGGGTGCCGGTGGGATGGAGCTGCCAAGGACAAACTGGGAGGGCGTTTGCGATGGAAGGGGGGAGAAGGAGCTCTTGACGTGCTTTTTTTCCTTCTTCATCCCACAGAATTGCCACGAGAGGAAATACCTCAGAGGGGCTTCCCTCCAGATAAGCCCTGAATATGCCAGGAGGTTTCAGCCAGGAGAAAGGAGCTGTGGAAGAAAAGCAGCCTAAAAATAGCCAGTGGGGATCAGCAGGTTTTCCAGCCAGGAAAAACAAGGAGGGAATCGTGTTCCAATTGCTAATGATTTGGTGGGTGCAGGAATGATTTGTGTGTGTTTTCCAGTCCCTTTTGATTCCTGGGATGATTTTAAAATGATGGCTTTAGCAATCAACTAAATTGGAGATGTTGTTTTTGAGAGGAAATGGTGCCAAATAAATGCAGAGGGAGAGCGTGGAATCATCTGGGGATCCTGGAGTGGTTTGGGTTGGAAAGGATCTCAGGGATCATCTCCTTCCACCCCCTGCCACGGGCAGGGACACCTTCTAATAGACATCCAGCCTGGCCTTGGCCACTTGCAGGGATGGGGCAGCCACAGCTTCTCTGTGCCAGGCCACCTCCCCACCCTCCCAGGGAAGAATGTCTCCTTATGTGCAATCTTTCCCTTTCTTCCCTGCAGGAAGTGGACTGGGACAAGGGAATTGGCTCCCAGGAGGCCGAGGATCAGAACGGACTCTGCACAGGGGACAACTTCCACTTCTGAACTGGGAAGGTCACCTTCGTCCCCACCCCCCGCAAACTGAGACAGAGTAACATCTGCCTGCAGCTGGCTGGAGTTCCCGTTGGCTCTGGGCTTTCTGCCCACGGGCCGGGGATCATGGCCAGAGTCCTTCAGACCTGGGGAACAGTGGCCTTCACACCATCCCTGCAGCCCGTCCAGGGCAGGCTGCTGCCCATCGGCCCCTGATCACAGGTGGATGTAGAAGTGATGGTGTTTAGGGAATGTTGATTGTATTTCCCTGACTTTAGCAACGTGGTCATTAAAAAGAGAAAAATAACAAGTCTATGGAAATCCCCTGCACGTGGGAGCTTTCAGCGCTCTGGGTTAAACTTGACTCTCTAATGTTAAAACTGTGGGCGAGGGGCGGTGGCCGAGCAGGACCAGCGGCGGTGCCGGACGGGGCCGGCCCGGGGGTCCCTTCCCCGCGGGGTCGCAGCCGCGGGACCCGCCCCCGCCCCGCGCGGCCCCTCCCGGCGCGCCCCGCCCGGCGTTGGGGGCTGCGGCCGCTCCCGGCGCTGCCGAGGCTGCCGGGGAGGGACCGGCCTGTGCTGGGGGCACGGGGGTCGTTCCTTGGGTTCGAGGGCGGCAGCGGGAGCGGCGCTGCGGGGCGGGACGGGCGGGAGGGGCCGGGTGACGGCGGGGAAACCGCGGCGGGGCCCGGGGGCTGCAGCTCTCTGGCTTCCCGACTGGCTTTGCGGACATTTGCCACCTTCAGAGGAGGCACAAATCCCCGCGGAGCTGAGCAAGGGGTGCGGGGAGCGCAGGGAGCTGGGGCGGGGCTGTGACCAGGGCAGGGTGTGCGCAGTGCCCCAAAACCCGCACCCAAAACCCGCCCGGAACAGCCCCAGAGCCCAGAGCGAAGCGCCGCGGGATCGCGCCGGCCCCGCCCCTAGACTCGCCCAGGCCCGCCCCCCGGCTCGCGCCGGCCCCGCCCTGCCCGTCCCCAAGAGCGCCGCCGTCCCCGCTGCCCGCCCCGCTCCCCTTGTCCCGGGAGAGCTCCCGGCCGGGCCGTGACCGCGGAGCTCCCACCCGCCCTTCCCCGGCCCCAGCAGCGCCCGCCGGGGCTGCGGCGGCGGCGGCGGGAGCCGCGCTGAGGGAAAGGGGGGCGGGGCCGCGCCGAGGGGCGGGGCCGGGCTGAGCGGGCGGGGCGGGGCCGCAGGGCCGGGCGGGCTGGGATTGGGCGGCGGCGCTCGAGCGCTGATTGGGCAGCGCTGCCGGCCCGCGGTATAAAGGGCCGGCGGGGCGGGTGGGGCCGGTTGTGTGTGTGAGGGCTGAGGGTGCGGCCCCGCTGCTGCCCGGGCTGCGGAGGGGAGAGCGCCTTGGCCGCTGGGTTTGTGCACCGGGGGAGCCGGGGGGCGTTTAGGGGCGCCTTGTGCTGGGCGGCGGGGGCCGGGTAAACCTCTTCCCTGCCGGGTGACCCCGGGGGGAGCCGTGGCAGGGCTGCGGGGCTGGTGCTCTCTGGGTGTCTCAGGGTTTGCTTTGGGATCCCAAACCCTTTCCCCGTGCAGGGTTATGAGGCAAAGACTGCTTTAACTTTTTTTTTTTGTGCTGCGTTAATGCTTTTTGCTCGTTCTGTGTCCATTTGCAGCCTCGCTCGTGGTTTCCCCTGGTGCGGAGGCGAGTTGTGCTTCCTGCGGGGAGAGAGAAGGGCCTTGGGAAGCTGCTCCATGAGCCACAGCTGTGCCGAGCCCGGGAGTCTGTCCAGGTAAGAGCAGGGCTTATACTGCCAGGGAGGAGCTGGGTTTGCTGTTGGAAGGTAGAATATGCCCGTGCCTTTAAATGCAAGGACAGGCAGAAGCTGGGAGGGACCCTGAGCAGGTTTGGTGGCACGACAGCAGTTTGAAAAGACCTTGACTGTGGGAGAAGGGTCCAGGAAAAATGATTCCTTTTTTGCAGGGAGGCAGTTTGCAAGGACAGGGGGGTTGCTGTGCTCTGTAGCAAAAATACTGCCCTTGGGATGTGCAGGGTGAGGAAATGTTGGCCCCGTGTGGGCTGGAGCAAAGGTGTGTGGGTGCCTGTGTGTGACAGCCGTGGGTGTGCAGGAAGGGGGTTCTGGTGCCATTGGAGCTGCCAGGGAGCCAAAAAGGGCACAGTTGTCTGAAAAAGGCAAAAAGTCTCAGCCTCTATTGACACCTGTACCAAAGGAGATGCAAATTTTCCCTTTCTCATTTGCAGACTTCACAAAGCTCCCAGGAAAGGAACCTTTAGATTCCTTCCCAGCTTTATGCTAAAGGTTTCCTTCCTCCTGTCTCAGCACCCTTTCTGCTGTTGGGAGAGCACGAGGTGGATGGAGAGGATCCCCAGGCATCTGCAGGCACAAGGGACTCGTACAACTGTGATTTTCCTACAGCCCTCGTAAAAGGGACCTCCAGGATACTCTTGGGAATGTGCCAGCTCTCCTGCTGGAGCTATTCTATGGAGTATTTGAACACAAAGGGTAAAACTAAAGTCAGGTCTGTTCTGGAGTATGTTACACTTGTGCAATACTCCTTTCTTCTGTTTATTTTCTGTTCTGGAAAGCACAGTCTGGGGTTCCTGGGCACTTCCTATTAAATGATTCCCTGAAAATAATTTTGTACTGAAAGGGGAAAGGTGCTGTCTGTGGGAGGTCAGGTGTCCATGATAAAAGCTTTATGCTTTTCAGTCAGATAAGCCCTAAAATATCTCACAGTGTGTAGGAATGCCTGGCTTCTAAAACTCACCAGCTGAGCCTTAGAGGCTTCTTTGAAGAGCTGAGTTCAGGCAGCAGAATTGGCCCCCAGGAGGGACTCTGTGCCTGCTCTCCCGTGGCTCCAAGGGATCTCTGGCCCTTCACGCCGGCACCGAGATTTTCTCGGGAAGGGCCTCAGATCCCCGGACCAGTCTGGGACACAGGCAAGATCCCCCTGCAGTTTAGGACCAAATTGGGCCCCTGGAGGGACAGTGCTGTGGGTGCCCCCCGGGTTGGGGCACCCCGAGGACTCCAGCGCGCACCGAAAGGATTCTTCGGGGAGATCCTCGGGGTGCCCGGCCCTGGGGAGCTCAAAGCAAGGTCCCTGCCATGGATTCAGGCATTGCTGAGAGTATCCCAGGGGTCCCTGTCCCTGCTAGACATGGAGCTCTCTAATGGGCTGGAATTGGGTGATAAAAGTGGTGCTCCAAGTGCCAAAGAAGTGTGGGATTGGGATTAAGAAATGAGCAGGGAGGGTCCAATTGGCTGTTTTCTCTGGAATGTGACTGTGAGAGCTGCAGGAGTGCCAGGTGTGTGTTCCAGTCCCCAGCATTTGGTTTGCACATGTCCTGCTCAGACACAGGTCCAACTTCCTCAGTCCCTAACCCAAGAGAGGGAGAATGAAGGACTGGCACTGTTCAGGTGATTGGTGTGACAGGGGTGAAACTGGGAAAACATTGGGTAATTATTCAGTTTCTCTATTTCCAAACTCCCCCAAACCTGTGCTAGGAAGAGATTGACTGGCAAAGTTAAGGCAGAAATGAAACTGGAAGATGGAGATATTGAAACTGTAATTGCTGAAACTCAATGTGTCCAAGCAGCAGCTCTTGTTGTGCAGGGAATAACTCCTGTCAGCAGCAAGGCCCCGACTGAAGTGGCAGCTGCAGCTGTTCCTGTGGTGTGGGCCAGGGGAACTGCAGGAGAGTGGAAGAGGGCAGAACCTGTAGGTATTACCCCTGGTGTGGGATCTCTCCTGGTAAGGCCAAGCCAGTATCCTTTAAAATCAGAATGGCAGCTTGGATTGGTTGCAGGAACAGCTGAATTTGCTCCTCCTGGTTTGCTTGTAGAAGGTGAATGCCCGAACCTGCCAAGGAAACCAATGGCCAAGGGGATTGATTAGTGCAGGACCTGAGAGAACCCCCTGAAATGACAACCTGGAGTAGTTTCCAGGATTAGATTGCAAAGATGGCCTTGGCTGCATGTCCTTGAGCAAGGAAAGCCAAGAAACCTTTGCTTTTGCAGGAGAAACTGGGGCAAGCGGGCAGGAAGAAGAGAAGCCCCGTGACTCCTCCCTGAGCCCCAGGCAGCCCCTGAACTGCCTCCCTGGGAATGGTGGGACGGGCTGGACTCTGGATTGCTCCCTCTGCATGTGTGGTAAGACTGTTAGGGCAACTTTTCCAAGAGCCTGTAAGAATTTTCTGCCTTGGCTAGATGGTGCAAGGGCAGCCTTTAAGCAGCTGAAGCCTTCCCTGAGGAGAGCTCTGGGTCTGCCAGATGTCTCAGAACTGTTGGAAGCATCTTTGGTGGGGAGGGCAAAGAAAGGCCAAGGGGTGCAGTGACCCCCCTGACAAGGGCTTTCAGTTAATGGCATCCCTGCAAGTGAACTTTGTGGGCTGTTCCCCCTGCAGGGCAGGTGACAGTCCCAGCTACAGTGATGGGAAAAATGGTTAAAAGGGAGCCCCAAAAGCTGAAATCCTCCTGGAGGCTCTTGGCAAACAGAGTTTCCTGAGTTCCCCCTGAAAGAACGGTAGTGATAGCTTTGGAGTGCTGGTAGATCCTTTGAATAGTTAGCCTTGTTGCCCCAGTAGGCCTTGTCCAACTCCCCATTTTCCAGGGGATATACATATTAAAGTTTCAAATGCTCTTCCTAATCCTTTGTTGGCTTGAGGCTCTCCCCTCAGGAACTGCAGGAACTCCTGGTGCCGCCTGGGCCGATGGATTGGACGCCCCAGCCCCTCCGTTCCTGCCCAGCCACTGGGGCCGTGTCCAGTGGTGGCACTGCCCGCCCTGCAGGGGAAGTGGGAAGGGCCTTTGCAGGTCCTGTCGGTCACATTTATAGCAGGTAAAGTTGCAGTAAAACGACGTTGGGTATGTTATTCTTGAGTTAGGAAAGCTCCTTTTGATTGGTGAGCAGAACCAAGTGGATCCTTCAGAGTTCCCATCCGTGTTTGTGTCTCAGCCTGTGTTAGGATTCAGGGCTGTAGCTGTTGTTGTCACTGAGGAGTCAAACTGTGCTTTAAATAATGAGACACTGGCCTGATGGCCCAGTGTCAAGAAAAAAGGGGGAATGATATCTGAGTGTTGCGATGTAACAAGAGCTAATCCTTTTTGCAGTGGGATGGAGCCTGGAAACTGCACAGAGCTGAGCCAAGGGATTGAAAGGTACTAACCAAGGGAGGTGAAGAAAGAAGGAAGAAGGGAAGTGAGGCAGCAGCCAAGCAGCACCAAGTTCCTGTGTAAGCAGGTGAGTTGTGTTGAGGTTCCTCAGGCAGGCACTGAGGACTTGGAGGGCTCCAGACAGAGCAGACCTGGGAAGGCCCTCGGTGAAGCTCCTTGGAAACCTTCTAAGGGTAGGTGTGTATGGTGATAAGTGTTGGGATTGTCCTGAATGTGGAACAGGAATGCAGGGAAGGAAAATGAACCCTGCTGTAATGCTGACCCCTCCCATCAGCTGCAGTGGAGACACCTCTGTGTGCCCTTTGGGATCTGATTGCCAGGGCCCCTGTGGGGCTGGGATCATGGCAGGGTGTTGTAAGCAAGGAATGCCTGGCTTGGAAAATTCACCAGCTGAGCCTTAGAGGCTTCTTTGAAGAGCTGATTTCAGGCAGCAGAATTGGCCCCCAGGAGGGACTCTGTGCCTGCTCTCCCGTGGCTCCAAGGGATCTCTGGCCCTTCACGCCGGCACCGAGATTTTCTCGGGAAGGGCCTCAGATCCCCGGACCAGTCTGGGACACAGGCAAGATCCCCCTGCAGTTTAGGACCAACTTGGCCCCCCTGGAGGGACAGTGCTGTTGGTGCCCCCCGGGTTGGGGCACCCCGAGGACTCCAGCGCGCACCGAAAGGATTATTCGGGGAGATCCTCGGGGTGCCCGGCCCTGGGGAGCTCAAAGCAAGGTCCCTGCCATGGATTCAGGCATTGCTGAGAGTATCCCAGGGGTCCCTGTCCCTGCTAGACATGGAGCTCTCTAATGGGCTGGAATTGGGTTCTAAAAGTGGTGCTCCAAGTGCCAAAGAATGTGGGATTGGGATTAAGAAATGAGCAGTGAGGGTCCAATTGGCTGTTTTCTCTGGAATGTAATTCTAAGAGCTCCAGGAGTGCCAGGTGTGTGTTCCAGTCCCCAGCATTTGGTTTGCACCTTTCCAGGTCAGGCACAGGTCCAACTTCCTCAGTCCTTAACACAATAGTGTCTGGGGACACTGAACTTATCAGGAGCAGAGTGTCAGTCTTGCCGTGCTGAGCAGCCCCGGGGCCACCAGTGTCATGGTTTGAGATAGCCCCAACATCCAATTCCCTAGCTCCATTCCCCCTCCCACATCTCAACCTAATGTGAGATGGGTTTTTCCAGACAAAACACACCAGACTCCAAAGTGGGGGAAAGGGAAATATATTACAATGACTGTACAAATAAATACCATATCACATTATACACATGATCACAAACTATCTCTACCATGACATATGTATTTACAATGGATCAGATCTCTTCTCTCCTCCAAATAAAAGTCCAGGAGGGAAAAAAGGACAGATCCCTTCCAGTCTCTGAACAGCAGCATCTTCTAAGGCAGCAGGTTTCTTCTCATCTCATGCAGCAGCTGATAGCTGGCTTTCTGCCAGCGTCCACGAGGGAGGTATTCAAGCTCCCCCGGCCCCATCGCCTCCAACCGAGGGGTCTTCCGTGGACTTCGTAACCCCAGACAAGGTCGTTTCACCACGTCATATCACGAAGACACAGGGGGGTCTTCATGACGGTCTGGTATCTCCAGGAGATTCAAGCTCCTTGCAGGGCCTCTGTGCCCTGTCTCTCAGGCTGCCACCGTGGCAGCAGTGCAAAAGGGGGGGAAGCCAAGGTCGCCCCCCCCCGCATTCCACCTGGCCGTCCCGGTCCAGCTGCGGGAGGCTCCGAGCTTCTCAGCTCCTCTCTCTCTGGTGCTGCATGTCTAAAACTGCTCTCCAAAATAGGAGTCCATGTCCCTCTTCTCCAAGAGGGATCTCAAGGGTGTTTTGGGGGAGTGTGGTACAGTCTTACCCCCAAGAACTTTGCAGCTCTCAGTTGCTGGCTCTCCTTTCCTCGGCTCTCCTTCCAGGAGTCTCCTCTGCAGTGCTGCATGTTGCTTCTGCTGCTTCTTCAGTTCAGGTTCTTATCTCTGGCTCTCTGCCACTGTTTCTCTGGTCAGCGTCGGCTGCTGCTCTGTGCCCATGGAGAAAATATCTCCCGGCATACTACAGGCACCTAGCCAGCTTTATGCTGTTCCAGGTCCCTGCAGCCCCCCAGCCAGGGGCTGGGAGGGGGCCAGAGGCCCCAAGGGGCTCAGAGCCCCTACCTCGTGGCTCTACAACATGGCCACCTCTCCTACAACACCCAAACTACAACTCTTCTTTTCCGGTCTGGTTGTGGTATGTTTACATTTCTGCAGGAGCGTCCATTGGGCAGAACTTCAAAACTTCCAGGGGTTTCCACCCCTTGGGGTCTACCACTTCTCTTAGCCTCTGGGGATAACAAGGTTCAAACCACTACAGCTCCACAGCAGGGCTGGCCCCAAAGCTTGGCACCCTCGACTCTGAGGAGAGGCTCAGCAGTTTGCAGAAGACTGGTGGTTTGATTAGTGCCCTATTATTGCTTGTGAAAACAGCATTTTCAAATGACTTCTAGTGAAAGGTTTATCTTCCTTCAGGCTGTCAATTAAAAAAGAAATGAAATTCACCCTCCAGCCGAAGTTATTTTGTGTATGGGAAGTTTTACAAATGCTCTTTATTTATTTTGTGTGTCGCTCTTTTCCACTTAATGTATCCTTCTTTATCTCAGCACTCTTTTCACAGTGCAGTTTTCTTTGTCAGTGCAAAGATGAAGTGCCAGGACCATAGTGGAGTTCCAAGGACAGGTGCAACTGCACCATGAAGGGCGTGTTTCACTACTACTGGATAAGCTTGCCTGACCTGTATTTTTTCCCTTCAGTAATGGGAAAGTTTAGCTAGGAACTCTGTAGAAAATATCAAATAAAATACATAAAAATATAAAATAAAATTACTTTTTAAAAGAAAATTCTCTTTTTTTTGGTGTGGTATTCAGATCTTTCAGAGAATGTTAAAGTTTTCCCTGCATTCAGCACTCTTTAACTGTGTCCTGTGTCCAGTGTTCATTCCCAAGACCCCTTTGCAAAGGTTGTCCCTACAGACTGAGGTGCACAGAGACCGGGATGTGGGTGCTGTGGATTCGGTTCGAGGTGGGTCTGTGAGTACATATTCTGCTCCCCGTACAGCCACGTCCTAAAGCTTCATGGGCTGATCTCCCTGCAGCAGTGTCAGAGGGTAGGGCTGAGACATCTGGCACTGACTGGAGTGCAGTAAATGAGAGGGAGTGTGGCTGAGTAGAGCCTGAGCGGAGGCAAGGCACCATCCTCATGCAGGTGAGGTTGATGAGAAGTGAGGGGATTTATGCAGGGTCCTTCCAAAAATGCCTGAAGACTAACATTTCTCATTTTTCTATATATTGAAAAAAATACTACTTCATGTATAAATTGATTTCAAAATAGAACCTTGTAACAGCTGCATTATATATAGGATCTTATAGTATAAGAAATTCTGAATATAGGTATATTTGTATTTTCCAACCCTATATAAGTTTTATATGTAAAAAACCAAGAAAGGGCGTGAAAGTATGAGAAAATATGCTGAATATGACGGCCATAGAAACGGTGTATTCGGAGGGTTTTTTGTGTCTCCTCTCAGTGTAACAGAGCAAGTCTGAGATCTTGGCTGGTATTTAAACCACTGCTGCCACCTGCTGATGAACACGGAGTACTGCAGTCGGCCCCGAAAAGGAGGCGCCTGGCTCCGCCCCCTCGAGCTCTGGCTCCGCCCCCTCGAGCTCGTCTCCCTCCCCCTCGCCTGTGGCTCCACGTGCCCTCCCCTCCCATGCGGGGCAGCCCCGGGTGTGGCCAGTGAGGATGAGGAGGGGGAGGCCCCGCTGGGGGATCATCTGGGAGCACTTCATGTAGAGAGCTTTTGCAGGGGAGCAGCCGATTCCAGGGAGTCTCTCAAGCAGTGATGGTGAGAGCATCTT